GTAAATCTTTACAGTAGCACACAGCCTCATCTTTATCCTAAGGAGTACCTGGTGAGCTCAAACTACTGACCTTCCACAACGCATAATTTGGCTCCTGCTAGTGACAAGAGTTGATCAATTCTAGGAATTAATGTTCAGTTTTCACATGATGGTAAGATATATCTGTTTGCACCATGAATGAAAGAATTAAAAACATACACTGGAAAAAAGTTTGTATCGTATTTTAGAAAAGTACATTGATTTACATCAAATTTATTTTGTAACCACAGGTAATGGTTCTAATATGATGCTTATTTACTCAGAATGATAATGAAATCAAATGACCAATGACAACATAAAATAATAATTTTGAAGACTCTGACTTAGTATTACTCTGCAGAAACTGACCATTGCAGAGTATGGTGAAAGTGATGAGATTCATAAGAAAAGACTAACTGGCATAAATTACGATATCTACACTTCAATTAGCTATTAAAGATGCAAAAAGGCTGTAGAGCTAGCAGAATTTTTATTCAAATATTTCAAATCCTATAAACAGCATGTTAGAACCTTCTCAAACTCCAGCCTCACCGTCATCAAGTCAATTTTGATACATAGGGATCCCATAGGACAGACAAGAACTGTCCCTTTGGCTTTTATGGGGATAGAAAGCTGCAACTTTCTCCAGTGGAACAACTGGGCATTTCAAACTGTCAACCTTGAGGTTAGCTGCCTAACATGTAACCCAATACTCAACCAGGGCTCCTGTTACAAGGACATAAAAATCTAAGAACAATATAAAATTCTGCTTTTTTAATAATAAATATCAATTAAGTTGGAAATGTTAAACCATTTAAAGAAAGTTTTGATAAGACCAGAATGAACAATTAAACATGAGTGATCTTTCTGATAAATGGTTTGAAACTGAAATAAAATGAAGAACTCTTAACTGACTGAAAAATTCAGTGTCAGGAAAAAAGTTATCTTTGGAAAAAATAGCATATTGGGAGCAATTTATCTATATCCTCATTATCAAATTCTAATTAGTTTTGAACTTAAGGTGAAATTCACATTACATTTAAAAAGCATTTGGGAAATGATAGAAAATCTAAGAAAACCAATGCCAAAAGTTTAACAAAGGAAAGCAATTCAGGAAATCTGCTTGTTTCAAATGATGGTGTTGATGAGGTGCAATTATTTCTCAAAATGAAAGAAAAATAAGTTAAAGGAAGACCAAACAATGGTACTGTTAATATTGATTCTATTAAGCTTTAACGGTGTACAGTTAAGAAAAAGAAAAATGTTCTTGAATTTTGAGAAGAAACCTATTCACAATCACCCCCATATATGATATTATTATAGTAGTTTTGAGTACAAGCTATTCAAGTCAATGTTATGAGAGCTTTGTCAGGATTAAATTCATTGAAACAACAGAGTTTGCCTAAATTTTTAAAATGTTGGAGGGAATTCTCTTAATTAGGTGTAATTATGGTTTATTACAATGTAGTTTTCTTAATGAAATATATAACTGTGTATGAATTAAACATAGATTAGTAATAGAAGTTTAAGGAACCCTGGTTGTGCTGTCAGGTAACCATAAGGTAAACAGTTCTAACCCACCAGGTACTCTTAGGTAAGAAGATCAGGCTCTCTGGTCCTATAAAGATTTACAACCTCAAAATCCAATATAGGCTTGCTACATGTTGTAATTGACTTGATGGCAGGGGGTTTGGGTTAATAGAATGCTTATCTTATGTAATGTTATGAACGAACTACAACTTACAACAGATGAATATTAAGGCATTAAATATTTTATTGTACTTTGTCTTCATTTATTGCTTTTTAGATATGCTACCATATTCTGAATTTGTAGTATATCTTGAATACATTCTTACCAATTTTACATTACTATTAAGTGTTATCTCCCTCATCAGTCAGTTTGTCCCTACTGTAGTGGCTAGGATGTTGCTGGAAACTATGTTACTGGTATTTCAAATACCAACATGGTCATCTGTGATAAAGAGGTTTCAGCAAAGCTTTCAGACAAACAGATTAGGATGAAAGAAGAGGCCGTCCACTTCAGAAAATATTGGCACTATATACCTCATGAATAGGAGTGGAGTAATAGTCTGAAATAATGCTGGAAGATGAGCCCCTCAGGTTGGAAGGCAATCAAAATATACATCCAAAAGTCCATCAATATTATTTGACACACTGATAAGAAAAAGAGTAAGAATCACATCATAATATCAATAGATGCAGTAAAAGCATTGGACAACATCCAACATGTATTCCTAATTAAGATACTCAAGAAGATAGGAATGGAAAGGAATTTCTCAAGTTAATTCTGGCTATTTAAAAAAAGCCAACAGCCACTCTCACTATTGGTTCTGAGGGGTTTATCTGTCCTGGATTTCCTGTGTTTCCAGCTCTTATTTATACCTGTGTACGTGCACTGGCTAGCCATATTTGTAAGGTAAAATTTGGGTCATGATAGTGGGGGGCGGTGAGGAGGAATCATGAAAGAACTAGAGGAAAGTTGTATGTTACATAGGTGCTATAATGCATCCTGATATAGGTGGCTCGTCTCCTCCCCGTGAACATTCTGTAAGGAGATGTCCAATTGCCTACAGATGGGTTTTGGGTCTCCACTCCGCACTCCCCCTCATTCACATTGATCGTATTTTTTGTTCTGGTTCTTTGATGCTTGATACCTGATCCTATCAACACCTCATATCGAACAGGCTGATGTGCTTCTTCCATGTGGGCTTTGTTGCTTCTCAGCTAGATGGCCGCCTTTAAGACCCCAGATGCTATATCTTTTGATAAACAGGTACCATCAGCTTTCTTCACTACATTTGCTAGTGCACCCACTTTGTCTTCAGCAATCATGTCAGGAAGGTGAGCATCATGGAATGCCAAGTTAATAGAACAAAGTGTTCTTGGATTTAGGGAGTACTTGAGTAGAGTGCCAATGTCCATCTGCTACCTTAATACTAAACCCATAAATATATGTACATCGTCCTATATAAATATATTTACATATGTACATGCCCCTCAGGACCAATATTGAGAGTAGCCATATCAGGAGGGTAAGGGCTTGAAGGTGGGGGCGGGGAAAGGGGGAACCGATTACAATGATCTACCTATAACACCACCACCCCACCCCCGCCAGGGAGATAGACAGTAGAAAAAGTGGATAAAGGGAGACATTGGTCAGTGTAAGACATGAAAAAAAAATTATAAGTTATAAAGGGTTCATGAGGGAGGGGAAAAATGAGAAGCTGATACCAAGGGTTCAAGTTGAAAAAAAGTGATGTACAAATGTGCTTGCTACAATGGATGGATTGTGATAAGAGTTGTATGAGCCCCCAATAAAATGATTTTTTTTTTTAAATGAAAAAGAAAAGCCAACAGCCAACATTACAGTCAATGGAGAAAACAATCCGCTAAAAAAACGGGACCAGACAAGGATGCCTCTTGTCCCCATTTCTTTTCAACTTATCATGAGCAGCGCGATCAATAATTACTTAACGCTCTTAGATATTTTTGAATGCTCAGTTTATTCACGGCAAACACACATCAAACAATCTAAAAATAACTCAAACTACTGAGGATAATACCAGCACTCTTCACACATACCGTTCTAGAATCACAGTCCCAATAAGCATTGCCGTCATTGGTGTACTCACCCTACGTAGAGTTGGGAGAGAGCAGGAGTTGATGTCTCCTTGGTTCCTAGCTCTCTGAAAAGTCAGTGTCTCTACCCGGGTTTTTATGGACAGCATGCCTGCGCCTGGCTTTTTGGTGTCGGTCAGGTTTAGCCAAGTCTTATCGGGGTTCCGCACACTGTTGATTTTTGGCGATGGTTCAACTTCTTGGCTGGGCCCCAAAGTCACACTTTATTATTTCTCTAAACTGTTTGTTTCTTGCGAGGTAGCTCAATGCCTTACAAGGAAGTTCTATAAGCTCTCATCAACATCATACTGGAGGTCCTAGCTAACAACATAAGGCAGCAGAAGGACATTAAAGGTATACATCTGGGAGAGCAGGAAGTGAAAATATTACTATTTTCAGACGACAAGATTCTATACATTGAAAACCTCAAAAGCTCCACAACAGGAGAACTAGCAGCAATAGAAGAATACAGAAGAGTGGCGTGATACAGGCACAACAAACAGAAGTCTATTGGTTTGCAATACACATTGGACAAGACCACGGAAGAGGGGATCAAGAAGGCAGTACCCTTCACAATAGCCAAGAACAAAGTGAAATATCTAGGGATATGTCTAATCTAAAAAAACAAAAGACTTATACAAGGAAAACTACAGGACCCTACTATAGGAAACCAAAACTGACCTCCACTAATGGAAGAATCTCTCATGCTCATGGATTGAAGGACTCAATATAGTAAAGATGTCAATCTTACCCTAGGCACTATATAAGTTTAACACTATCCCGATTCAAATACCAACCTTCTTCAAAGACTTGGAAAAACTGACCACAATTTCATAAGGAGAGGGAAGCCCAGAATTAGCAGAGAACTCCTCAAGAAGAAGGAAAAAGTTGGAGGGCTCACTCTACCTGACTTTACACCTACTATACAGCCACAGTGGTCAAAACAGCATGGTACTAGAATACTCAGACCAATGGAAAAGAACAGAAAACCCAGAATAAAACCATCAGCATATAGACAACTGATCTTTGACAAGGGCCTAAAGAGCATCAAGTGGGAGGTGGAAGCCCTCTGTAACAAGCGGTGCTGGAAAGAATGGATATCCACCTGTAGAAATATGAAACAAGATCCTTACCTCACCCCATGCACAAGAACAAACTCCAAGTGGATCACAGACCTAGAAGTAAAACCCCAAACTATTGGGACCATCAAAGAAGGAATTGGGCAAACCTAAGAACCTTGGCTCAGGGAATACATAGGCAAACTGCAATGTTGAAGGATATACACACAGGTGAACCTGATATTGACAAGTGGGATAAACTAAGAATATAACACCTGGCTCCGGGACCCGAGTACTGAGTGGTTCGTCGCGCCCCGGGACCTGCGTCCGGCGGCGTTGCTGCCGTCACCATGCCACAAAATGAACATATCGAGTTACACCGTAAGCGCTATGGGTATCGTTTGGATTACCATGAGAGAAAGAGAAAGAAGGAAAGTCGAGAGGCTCATGAACGTTCAAAGAAGGCAAAAAAGATGATTGGTCTGAAGGCCAAGCTCTACCATAAGCAGCGTCATGCTGAGAAAATACAAATGAAAAAGACGTAAGTGTTCCTGGTTGTTTGCCCTAACAACGTTAATGACACTAGGGACAGCCGCTCACTCTTCAATCTTTTTCCTTGTTGGTAGTATCAAGATGCATGAAAAGAGAAACACCAAACAAAAGAATGATGAGAAGACTCCACAAGGAGCAGTGCCTGCCTATCTGCTGGACAGGGAGGGACAGTCTCGAGCTAAAGTGCTTTCCAATATGATCAAACAGAAACGAAAAGAGAAAGCGGGGAAATGGGAAGTCCCTCTGCCCAAAGTCCGTGCCCAGGGAGAAACCGAAGTCCTAAAAGTGATTCGAACAGGAAAGAGGAAGAAGAAGGCCTGGAAAAGGATGGTTACTAAAGTTTGCTTTGTTGGGGATGGCTTTACACGGAAACCACCGAAGTATGAACGATTCATCAGACCCATGGGCTTACGTTTCAAGAAGGCACATGTTACGCACCCTGAACTTAAAGCCACCTTTTGCTTACCAATACTTGGCGTAAAGAAGAACCCCTCGTCCCCACTGTACACAACGCTGGGTGTTATTACCAAAGGGACCGTCATTGAAGTGAATGTGAGCGAACTGGGCCTGGTGACGCAAGGAGGCAAGGTGATTTGGGGAAAATATGCCCAGGTTACCAACAACCCTGAAAACGATGGGTGCATAAACGCGGTCCTGCTGGTTTGATGGCACTTTATACACGGAACCCCCTTTATTTGTGAGGATGACAAATGAGCCAGAGAAACCACCATTATTACCCTGTGCTGCTGAGTCCTACCCAACAGTTTACATGTCTGACGGCAGCAGGAGAACTATTTATAAAGAAAAGCAAGACATTAAAATGGCCCTGTTGTACAAATGGTCTTATTTTTACACCTCTGGGGTTTTGGTGTTCAAAAGACTGCATGTTAGCAGCGCACAATAGAAATTAACTTCTGTACAGAACTAACAACTATCCATGTGATGAGCAGGTACTCGGCTGAACTTCTGTACAGAACTAACAACTATCCATGTGATGAGCAGGT